CCCTAAACCCTAAACCTCAACCTGTGGTCACACAAAGCAGCCAGACTGTTCTCGTTGCGATCATATGTCCAGCGAGACGGCTCGGTGTCGGTCGTTTATGTCTCTGCATGTCTATGTTTGTTGTGTTTTTGTGTTCTTGTGCACATTTTCTTGTACTTGCGGGTACGGGAGCAGCAGGGTGTCTGCAGAGATCAGAAAAGTACAAGTTGATTAAGAAGAACACCCGGACAGTGTCAGTTTGCCACTTTGCCGTAGACGAAACAGGCTTAAATCAGAACTCAACCCGCATCTCCAAAACCGATGAAGAGCCTAAACTAAGCCCGAAGCTGACTGGCTGAGCGGTCTAGGTTTCTTCTTCGGATATCCTGCTAAAGCCGGTCTAAGTTCGTGGTTTGTTAAAGCACCATGGATGGAGTACTGATGAATTTCTGCGCTGTGTCCGTTAGATCCTGCTAGCAGCTACTGGCTCATCTCTTGACGAGGCTATGAACTTAAACGACGCACGCAGGCATGGATGCATGGATGCATGAACGCATGTATGTGTGTGTATGAATGTATGTATGTACGTACGTACATAGGTAGGTAGGTAGGTAGGTAGGTAGGTAGGTAGGTAGGTAGGTAGGTAGGTAGGCAGGCAGGTAGGTAGGTAGGTAGGTAAGTAGGTCGGTAGGTAGGTATGTATGTACAAATGTAAATGTAACTGTAAATGTACATGTATGTATGTCGTACAGTATGTGTGTATGCAAGTATGTATTGACAGTTTGACAGTGATGTATGTGCACATACTCAGTATGCTCACATGCACGCATGCATGCGTGCATCCGTCTGTTTATCCGTCTATCCTTGTTTGCATGTGTATGTATGTACACCCGTACAGGCCCTCTCTCTATGTCTATGTTCTCCCTCATTTCTCTATGTCTGCGTTCTATCTCAATCTAGTCTCGGGGAGCCCCTGCCATCTACAACTGCAAGTGCTCTTTACCCTTGGTTCGTAAAGCCCCCACAGTTACAAGCAGGGTAACTGTAATTATAACCCATATTAGGGGACTTATAATCCCATTTATAACCACATGGACCTCCAAGCAGGCAAGCTTAAATTGCTGAACCATCACAGGGGCTGGGCCCACCACGTGCCTCCGCACTGCTGTTTCCTGCCCGGGAGCTGAGTTTCTCACCCGTGTTCGGGGTAATATAGGGGCCTTCATAATTACCTATACTATTTTGGGGGTTCCTTAGTATAATTATGGTATAACGGGCCCCAAAACCCTGTTCTACTTATTAAGGCCCCTACATTATCATGCGGATTCAGTTGCGTGCCGTACGTTTTAGTGGAGTTGAGCTTAACACCCTTCGGCATCGGAGCAGTGTTTAGTTTAGTGAAATTGGTGCGGACCTCAGGTTCGGGGTGGGATGTGCAATGTGGGAAGGGGGAGGCTTTGGGACGTTTTTCTTTCGAGGCTTTAAACATAGCTGCTCCAATAACTCGAACAGTGTTTTGCGGTATATTGCACTATAAGTATATAGCTACCAAAGAATATATTCCGATGCCCACATTTGGTATGATAATCTTGGTTTCAGACTTGACACCGAGCCCTACCTCTTCCAACCCCAAACCGAAGAAGATCCTGAAACTGACATACAGAAGCTTGGGAGCTTAGTTCCTAAAGGCTGGAGCTTAAATCATAAATCCCCAAGCATATAAAGCTTGGAAATCTGAGCCCTAACCCCTAAACCCTGAAACCCTACAGACCCGACGGAGCACAAACCTTTGGATCCTAAACTAGGTTTTTATGAAGGAATTTAATTTAAGTTTCCAGAATAGCGATCTATAGTAAATAAGACGGTTTGTTTATTATGGTAACTTGAGTTAAATCCCCTAACAAGAATCCAGTAAGCCCGAAAGCGGGTCCAAGGAGAACTCACGAGAGGTCTTCGGCACAGTCTAGCTACGTCCAGTCCCGCAGAGTCTTCAAAGAAATATACTAAACCCTAAACCCTAAACCCTAAACCCTAAACCCTAAACCATGGACCATGATGCACCTCCACAGCCATGTCGTCATTGTTAACGCTCCCTTTGTTGGTTTGTGAAGCTCCAGGTTGAGAGGCTTTGGGGTTTGGGCTTTAGGGGCGTGTAGGGTTTCAGGTTGAGGTCTTCTCTGGACGTTCTGGTTTAGGGTTTAGGGTGTAGGGTTTTAGGGCTTGGGATTCGGGGTTTAGGGTTTAGGGTTTAGGGTGTAGGGTTTTAGGATCCAGGGGTTTAGGGAAACCCAAGCCAGTCGCGTAGAAGGCTGCGACTGCGCGAGACTGTTGTTTCCCGACCCTTAGCCTATAACCCCTCCTTTAGAGCCCCAAGTATGCTTACGCAAAAGAAGCCGCGATTTCGAGGTTTGCGGGGCATTCTCCTAAACGTCAGAAAGGTGGGCAGCGAGGCCGGCAAGAAAGCTGGTAGGGTTTCTTTGATCAAGTCAGGGATTCCTTTCTAGGGGTCGTTTTAGCAAGGATCCCTGTCACCATTGCGGCCTCTATTGTTACGTTTAGGGTTTAGGAGTCACGGCTCAGGGCCTAAACCCTAAACCCCTAAACTGGGGCCCTTTTTGTCTAAAGGACCATTACGGCTAAGGTATGTTGAGGCTCTGAAGTTTCTGAAGCTAAGTTTTCAGTTGTCAAGTTGTTTGCATTTTAAATTGGAAAGCTCCTGGGAAGGTGGGGTTTAGGTGACGGTTTAGGGTGCAGGCTTTAGGGTTTGGGGGGGGTGGATTCAGGGTCTTGAAGCTCAGATTGTAGACGTTAGCCTGGGTTAAAAAGTGCGTAGATGCTAGAGTTGAAGGGGGCTTTCCGACAGTCCTTGAACTCGCACTCAGACAGAAACCTGCCTAGTTTGGTTTGGTCTTGGTCGGTAAAATATGTCGACAATTGCACACGGCATTTCACAGCTGCTCGATTGAAGATGTACTTGTGGGCACCGATGGTTGTGTTCTGACCGCAGAGGTTGGACTGATGCCTTGTATATAGTGTCCTGCTATAGTCCTGCTATATATCTAAACCCTAAACCCTAAACCCGATATAACTATACTTTAAGTTGCTCCAAGGCCCCCTAAACTTTCGATTTCAGGTCCTACATGGCTGAAGTCCACTGCGGCATCTAAACCCCAAAAAGAGGAACGACAGTTCAGGGTCCGATTCAAACCCGAAGCACTAAATACGCGGCCTTAAACCCGAAATCAAGGTTTAGGGTTTAGGGTTTAGGAGTTTAGGGTTTAGGGTTTAGGGTTTAGGGTTTAGGGTTTAGGGTTTAGGGTCGGTAGATACTTACCTTAGGCAGTCTCAGCTGTCGGAATCTGTGGTCTGGGGACCCATTCCCCTTCTTGACGCCTCTGCAGTGAGGCGGCGCAACAACCACTGTCCCCTTGCCGCGCTTGGCGCCATCTGCCTTTGTGGGTGTCAGGTTTCTCCAGTTTTTTGGAGTCCTGAAAGCCCAAACCCCATTCCTTGCAGTGGTGACTTATTGAATTGGCGCTGGGATGGGGGGGGGGGGGTTCCCGGTTTTTCGGATGAGTTTGTTGGTGATGTTGACTGCCTGATACCGTCACAGTGCTAGAACTTGGGACCCTATACTACTAGAGGGTGCTTTATGACGTTTTTGTTTTTCTTCTTTTTGATTTTTCTCCCCTTGCATTCCCACCTAGAATTTGGGAGCCTATACTACTAGAAGGTGCTTTATAGGACCCCTAAACTCCAAACCCTAAACACCCTAAACCCTAAACCCCAAACCCTCAACCCTGAACCCTAAACCCTTATCATAAACTTAGCATCCCCCGCCCCTCGTTCCGAAAAGGCCGCCCTCACATTCACAGCCGCTTCTCGGAGGTTCATGGGTAGTTATGAGGCTCCTTTAAGAGGTCCTTTTAGGGTTCTATGACGGTTTAGGGTTCAGTGTCTACCTGGAGGTTCATGGGTAGTTATAATTGGGGTTCTAAGTAGGGCAGCGATAATTCTGATCCATATTTGGATGACTCACAACTCCAAGTCATATCTACCCATGACCCTAATCTCTCAACTTCTAAACCCTAAACTAGCCTAAACCCTAAATCCTAAACCGTAAGTCCTCACCCCTTGAGCACCTTCGATGCAGGGCCTCAGCGACCAGGTTTCCTAGACCTCCCCATTTCCCTAAGGATCCCATTCCGAAAGTCTAGAAGCCTTCATAAACCCCATATAGTCCCCACGCTCTATAAGGCCTGCAGGAACCGCCTGCAGGAACCCCTAAACCCTAAACCGAAAGCCCTAAACTCTACACCCTACACCCTAAACCCTTACATCCTACGCCCTAAACCTTATGTCCTAAACCCTGAACCCTAAACCTTATGTCCTAAACCCTAAGCCCTAAACCCTAAATCGTACACCCTAAACCTTACGTCCTAAACTCTCAACCCGAAAACTTCTGTCCTAAACCCTAAACCCTAAACCTTATGTCCTAACCCCTCAACCCTACACCCTCAAACCTTCAGGAGTTTAGACCTAAAGGCCCGAACGCCAGGTTCTGGCTGCCTTCCAGCGCGTTGAAGGAGGAGCTTGAAGAGTTGAGTGAGGAGGCCCCGGTGCTTGGGATATGCCAAGACTTTCCAGTGCAGGGTTTAGGGTTTAGGGTTTAGTTTAGGGTTTGGGGTTTAGGGTTTAGGGTTTAGGGTTTAGGGTTTAGGGTTTAGGGCGGGTCTTGTTTCCGAAAGCCTTAAAGCCTAAGCCTTACACCCTAAACTAGCCTCAACCCTAAGCCCTAAACCCTAAACCCTAAACTAGCCCAGACCCTAAACCCTAAGCCTTAAGTACCCTAAACCCTAAACTAGCCTAAACCCCAAACCCGAAGCCTTGAGTACCCTAGATCCTAAACTAGCCTAAACCCTAAACCCTAAACCTCAAGTACCCCAGATCCGGGATTGTTTAGCTTAGGGTTAAAGCCCTGGGCGTTTTTCTAAGCCTCAGCCCGAAGCTCGATGCTTCAAAGGCTGGGTTTAGGATTTAGGGTTTAGGGTTTAGGGTTTTAGGGCTTAAGGTTTAGGGTTTGGGGTTCAGGACTTGAAGTTTGCGGTTTAGGGTGTAGGGTTTGGCATTTAGGGCTTAGGACTTAAAGCTTGCGGTTTAGGGCTTAGGGTTTAGCGTTTAGGGTTTAGGACTTAAAGTTTAGGGTTTAGGGTTGAGGGTTTAGGAGCCCTGGATTTGTCCTGTGCCAGGCCGTGTTGGAGGAGCGCTGCCGCAGCCTTCAAGGGGAATTGGATGGCGGCGAGGCCAACCCCGGCCCTAGAATCCCCTAAACCCCTAAACCCCTAAACCCTAAACCCTAAACCCCTAAACCCCTAAAACCTACACCCCTGAAGCCTAAACCCCTATTTCTTAGAAGCAGCTCCCCAGACACCACACACATTTGCTAAAGGGTTCCGGGTTCAGGGTTTCGGTTTTGAGGGCTTCGGGTTTAGGGGTTTTGGGGGTAGATTCCGCACCATGAAATCCTATTGTGGATGATCTAGATCCTGCAGTTCCTTAAGGACCCTAAACCTGTGGGAATTTATGGTATATTCCTTGTTATGGGAAATGCAGGATTTATAATCATCAGCCGTAGTACCCTAACAAGGTTAAAGGTCACTTACTCTACTTCTGCGACTGAGGGCTCGGGGGCTTTGGGGTCATTCGGGTCATCAACCGTATCACCTAGGCTGATCTCGATGATCTCGAAGCCACGACGATGCAGAGCTGGGGTCGCATGGTTTCCAGTTTTGGGCGCTCAGAAGAACCATCCCAGCACCAAGTGGTCTTGGTTGGGCCTTGCAGGGTTTAATATAAGGGACTGAATAATCAGAATAGGCTTTGGGGGTGTAATTGGGGTTTAATATAAGGGACTTGATAGTTAGCATAGGGCTTGGGGGTAGAATATACTAGAATTATAAGAAGGACCCCCCCCCCAAACCCCAAACCCCAAACCCTATCCTAATCATATCTAATCATCATTAGCTTCTCTGGGGCTTCGGGTTTGATTGGAGACTTTCGGGTTCACTTGGGGTTTCGGACACCGAAGAGGACCAGCCGCCCATCCAAGAGGGTTTAGGGTTTAGGGGTTTGGGTTTAGGGTTTCGGGTTTGGGGGTTAGGGTTTAGGATTTAGGGTTAGGGTTTAGGGGTTTGGGTTTAGGGTTTAGGGTTTAGGGTTCAGGCCCTGGAATCGGGTCTTCCCTGGCCTTGCTTTGCTTGAGGCGCTGTGACGGATACCCTCTGTCGAAGATGAAGGCCTAAGATTCGAAGTGAAACTCGCCGTGAGCCTGGGGCGATCGTCGGTTGCTTAAGCTGGGCGGATCGAGATGATGAACTCGGGGGAAGTCTCCGAGAGTTCTATCGAGTCCAGTTGAAGCAAAGTGTCCGAATTGAGGTAGAGTAGCTGCAATTACTATCCCTTGATAAGGCGTCCATGTCGTCATAGGTTCTTACATACTTAGTAATACTTAGTACCTCCCAATCGAAGCCTCGTAAGAGCCCCACGCAGTCTCACGCAGAAGATCCTTCAGCACATATTTTAACACCATATCAGCCCCGCGCTCTACGCAAACATTCATGAAGCCTGAGTTTCCCAAACCCTAAATCCCCTAAGCCCTCCAAGAGCCCTAGACCCTCAAAGGACCCGAGTTTCCCAAACCCTAAATCCCCTAAACCCTCCAAGAGCCCTAGACCCTCAAAGGACCCTAAACCCTCATCCTTGGGTCCTGTTCAGGCGCAGCTGCGGCTGTTCTCTCAGGCAGAGGAGCATCTTGCAAGTTGGATTGGTCCAGGCGGGAAGCCATCAAGAACTCCTCAAGGCTAGGCATTTTAGGGGGTTTAGGGGTTTAGGGTTTAGGGATTTAGGGGTTTAGGGTTTTAGGGTTTTCAGGGTCGTTTGGGGTTTTAGCGTTGAGATAGGGATACTGTAATGTTTAAGGGCTTGGGGTGCAGCGGTTTTGGGTCGGATTGGTCCCGGCCTGGGGCCTGATAAATATCACAGAAACTGATAGGGTTTGGTAGAAGTTCAGAGTTTAGCGTTGGCTCGAGGATGGGGGTTTCAGGTTCAGGGTTCAGGGTTCAAGCGCTGGAATAATCATAGCAATAGCAATCAAAATCGAATTAGTGACAACAGGCTTCGTAGTCTACTGATGACAGTAGTAGCAGTAGTAGTAGTAGTAGTAGTAGTAGTAGTAGTAGTAGTCGTAGTAGTAGTAGTAGTAGTAGCAGTAGTCTTTCTTGTCCCCATATAAGTATAGCATGATAAACCCCCAAACCTTATTTAGGCCGTATATCACAGCTTAGGCTTGGGCCTTTCAGGTTCAGGCTCTTTGGGTTTAGGCTTGAAGCAGATTAGGTTTCTTTGGTGTTTAGGGCTTGCTGCGTGAACAGTTGAGGGTTCGGGTGAGAGGTTTTGAGTTGGGGTGCTGAGAGGTATCATATGTGCCTGAACAAGTAGTAATTACCGTCCCCTGATTGGTTGGCTGCTTATACGTCCCCTAGTATGAGTCGTAATTGTAGTTGCCTTGCTTACAGCCCCACTAAACCCTGACTTATAACTACCCTAAACCCTAAACCCGAAACCCTAAACCCAATAAACCCACTTCTGTATAGCTACCCTAAACCCTAAACCCTAAATCCTAAACCCTAGAACCTAAATCCTAAACCCTAAACCCTAAGCTCACTTGTATCTACACATGCACTTGCAAGCTGCCCTGCAACGGTTGTTCGCAAGGCTCCAGGTCTTACGGTCCTGGGCCCTGCGCCGAAACCTGGCCCCAGACCATGGCCCTAAACCACATTCACATGGATCCTCATTATTGTACCTGGAATTCTATAAGTCCTCAGTAAGATCCTTATCATGGTGTCGGGATTATATAGGTTACTTAGTGGAAATTTGGATGTGTTGCAGGAAAACCTGGATCTATGCTGGTACAAGAGACTAGAGATCCTTGTCCCATCTTCTCCCCTTTGACCGTAAGGCAACTGTTAGATGTCGCAGAGCCCGTGATTGCAAACATCATGGGCCGGTATGATGAGGGCTGTAGTACTGCACTCGGGACTGCAAGTAGTTGTAGATGTAATGACATTTGTACCTTGACTTATATGTACAGGCTTCAGACTTCCAACCCTAGTTTTCGCGGTGCCAAAACCCCAAATCCCTCAACTCCCAAACTCGCTACTCAGGGCCTTCCTTAGCGAAGAAAGCCCCGCTGGAAGCAGCGCTGCAGCTGCGCAGCGAGGCCTTCGACAATTCAGGATGCAGTTGTTTAGGGGTTTGGGGTTAGAGTTTAGGGGTTCTGTGAAGGATTTAGGGGTTAAGGGGCCTTGGCAATTAGAATCGGGTTTTGGGCTGTATTAGGGCGTAATTGCATCTGCGAGCTTTAAGGAGTGGTATTAGTAACCCTATGACGCAGAGGTCGTTTAAGCTTGTTATGTTGATAGCTGAAGGTGCAGAATGCGGCAGTTGGTTTTACCACTACCTACAGTCCTGCCTTTCTGTTGTTTTATCCGTGGTCTCTTCGGACAACCACGTATATTTGCAACGACGACCGGCACATCGCACCAGAAGCAATGCACATCGCATGACACTTTCTGTAACACTACTTCGCATCAAAGAGCTCCAAGGTTGAGTTAGCAGCTCCTATTGGGTTTAGGGTTTAGGGTTTAGGGTTTAGGGTATAGGGTTTAGCGATGTCTGATAACACTGAGAGAGAGCTCCATCAATCAAAGCCTCGCCCCCCACCGAAAACCCCAAACCCTTAAACCCTAAACCCCTAAGCCCTAAACCCTAGACCAGAAACCCAAAAAGCACCAGAGCCATCTGTGAAAGCAGGTGCGAGATGCCCGCTCGGGCCTCAAGCCCCTGAAGCTTTTGGGGTTTGGATTTCAGGCTTGGGGGTTTAGGGCTTTCTGGGTTGAAGGCTTAGGCTCGAGGGCGTTTCGCGTTTGAGGCGCTGAGGCTTAGGTTACGATCCGATTTGTATAGTATAAAGTCGGTACGGGTATCGTGTCGATGGTTTAGGGTTTGGGGTTTAGGGTCAGGTTCGTCGTTTTGCTGTCCTGCACTGGGCTTTGGTTCTATCGGCACAGAGGCCCTCTTGGCCGGCCTGGTTGTGCGTGGACCTACCGCACAAGTCCGGATGAAGACCTGATCTCGTGGCAGTGCATTGCCTAAGCCCCCAGGTGCCTACTATATAGGGCCTTGGGGGCTCTAGTACCATATATAGTAGGTACCTGGGGGGTTAGGAATAGCCATGTTGTTGGTTGTTTGTTGTTCTTCTTCATGGTGCTGCCGTTGCTGCCACTGGATTCTATGATTCCTGCTATCCTTGCCGTCTTGCAGGTACAACCTACATTGCATGAAATTCAGATTTCGGCCCAACTTGACCCTAAGTCTGAAGTCTGAAGGGAGGCGTAGGCTTGCGGTAAAAGGGCGCAGCCTGAGTAGTTACTCATATGTATTCCTCAGGGTTCCTTAAATCACTGATTCTCGAAATCTGCCCAAAGCGCCAGAAGTCCTATTTAATCATGTATTAATGCCCCCATATGGGTAGTTCTCTAAGTTAGGGTCCCTGTTTAGGTCCCCCAAATAGTACGGCACCCCTATACAAAGGACCC